TCTGGGCTCGCTTGAGCCACTGAGATGAACATTAACCGCTCCTCCATATGGGGACGTGGAGGAGCGCACGGGAAAAAAGGGCAAAACAAAAACTTACAAAAACCGGAAATCAAACACCTAATCTTTGTTAAAACTGTCTCTCTAACCTGGACAGGCAGAAATACGAACTGATGACCCAAACGCCATGTGCATGAGTGAACACTGGGAATAGGCTTTCTTATTCCCATATCTGGTGCGATGAGAGCAGGGCCAGACGCCACACCCGGAGCCAATCTCTTCTCTAAGGAGTCCGTTTCCCACTACCTGCCATTTCATTGCATAAAGCTTTCTTTCATGGCACAAGGACTTACCCCCTTTTCAATGGTGCTGGTCTGGCACAGGGTTCCTTCTGCGGCGGGGATACTGTTGGTGACACAGCGGTTACTTTTGCTAAGGCACCAGAGCTCTCTACACACTTCCTAGGAAAGAAGGCAAAAGCAAGTTGGTCAGAAATATCAATTCTCAAGAGGGACCAGAAAAAATTGACACAAGACCAGCATAGTGTGGCACCAGGACACACAAACTGGGGGGCATTCACAATACATGAGGGGGCTCATCCGTTGGGAAGGGGTTTAATCTATACATATCATCTTATTATTTTCATGGCGACGCATCATGCAGACACAATAGCACTGTATGACAGTGTATCACTTTTATTTAGCTTTTCCTTTTTTATTCAAAATATCTAACTTGTTAACAATATCGTGAATTATATGATATAGCCTATTCTGACTGTTAGATGTGTAAATACATTTTACACAAATACACAAAAAAAAAAACTTCACCAGCATGTATTGAACCGTGGATGTTGTACCGAACAGTTCAATATTATTTTGAGAATTGTGGCATCCCAGATAGATAGATAGATAGATAGACAGAGAGACAGACAATGTTTAGGTACAAGGATAATGAAGGTAGACGAAGTAATTCAAAAGAAACGTAGTTCATTAAACAAAGTGACTCAGGTAAGCCAATAGAGAAGAAATACTTAAAGGTCCCCTGAAATGCTTAGAAGCACGCAGCGTTACTCTATGTGTTGACGTCATTTTAACTGAAACAGGAAGACAGGGCGGGACATATCAAGCAGCCCCGCCCTTTTTTAAAATAGCCAATAGCGTTCATTTATATCACAGCTTGGGCTAGAGCCGTTCAGAGCCGTTGAGCTCCGTAAAGCTGCATTTGACAGGGTATGCCAGCCACAGTATCATCCATATTGCTATAAAATATAGCATTCTGTGTAGAATTCAAATAGCTCCGATACACTTTGTGGTCTGCGCCGACTCGCGCATGTGATCCGCTCCGTGCTATCGTGTCTCTGGACCGGAGCAGAGTGTGTGTGCGGTGCGGTGGTTAGCGTGACACAGCGCGAAACCAGACTTCTTCTTTTCCTCAATGGAAAGCATATTTACACTGTTTGAATCGTTCCCTGTCCCCTATATAGTGCACTACGTGCCATTCACTGTACAGAAAATACTAATTCTGTGGACAAGTGACCGATTTCAGCCGCGGCTTCAGCGTCTATTTTATAGTGTAGGGGGCGGGCGCTTCGGATTCTAGAGAGCATTTGATTGGACAAAAAGTTTGATGAGAAGCTGAAGTACGATGTGACGTCAAAAAAATCGTTGAGCCGTTTTGGCGGAAGTGACGAACTGCAAGCTTTGAATGCTTATATCTTCTAAATGCGAATTTTGTCACTGTTTTGGAGCACACTGCCTTATAGATAACCTTAAGACTAACATATTGATACTAACACCCAAAAAACTTTAATTTTAATTTCATGGGGACTTTAAGTACTGTTAAAATCAGTTGTTTGGAACTGGTGAGTTGTAACTTGTAATGGAGTAATTTTCACTGTAAGTTTTCTGTACTTTTACTAAAGTATGATTTTCAGGTACTCTTTAGACCTCTGGAACAATCTGATGTGCCAAGCCATCAGAACCGAACTGAACCAAACCAAACTGAAAACCGTCATTAAAAAAATAAATAAAACGAGGTATGTATTGAACCATGAGCTAACTGTTTTGTTAGTAAATAATAGATAAATATTGTTCAGTTTTGCACTTTTTGTCAAATAAATTCTTATTTTCGTTGATTAAAATTAGATTCCATGCCAGCAAAACTGTAATAAAAGAGTAAAAATTTGTAATATTAATATGACATTTGAGTCATTTTGTGCAAAATGTAATGTTGTGTATGTATTTCATTAATCTCATATGTATATATGTTTGAATGAGTTAATTAACGACCCAAGTAAGTCTTGAGACATCATATGCAAAACATAGAAAAACTCAGCACAGAAGTTGTCACAAGTTCACTCGTATAGATAACCACACAAAGAACAATACCTAATTATCAGAAAAGTCCAGCCTCAAAATGACCCAGGCACATTGAAATCATTGAGACGACTTTACCATACTAGGTGCTCTCCACTGCCACTAAATACTTTCTTTTTATGATGTTCTCATGTTCCATGGTGATAATCTCCCCATATACTGTACACTGCTAAGTAATTGGTGTTTTAATAAACAGCAGGATAAAGTCTAATGCCTCCATATCCTCCCTATAGTGACTAGATCTAAAGACCACTGATCTGAAGCAAAATAGATTTAGAAATAGATTTCCACTGCCTTTGTCCTAAAGACCCCCAAGCTTTTTTTTTTCTTGAAGAATGGGGTAAATTCCACCCCACACCGTTCAGGATGTGTATGACAGCATTCCAGAAAGAATCGAAGGCAAAAGGCGGCTGTGCTCCTTATTAGGTCTTTGATATTAATATATTTTTAGGTTTCAAATTTTTCGTCCACCCCCTTGGTGTGTGTTTATCTCTCCGTAACAGTTTTTCCAAACCAAATTCAAACCTCTTGTCCAATGGTGTGGTTATAATTCTCCAAAGGCATGTATTAAACAGATGGTTGGCAGAAAAAAATAAGATTGTCAGAATCCACTAACACTACACGCTGTATTAAACTTGAGCCAAGGGAATGCGAGACTTTTTTTCTTTACATGACCATCTTCCATGCTGATCTATACCACAGTTATGAGCTTAAGAGAGAAATTACAGGGTTCTCTTTTTGGCATGCGTTCATCCACTGTCGGATATATCTCTCAATGAAACAAAAGAACTCTGTAATCTCGGGTAATTTAATTCTTTTCTGGTGTAGAAAGCAAAGCCACATATTTGTACTAAGCAGAGCACCGTCTTTTATTGATCATTAATTTTCCTGGCTTCATTCAAGCCTCTTTTTTCCCCTCCCTGTGTCAGTTTATTTGCTTAAGTTTGTTGTTCTTTGGGTAAAATCATTATCATTTCCAAAAGTCTGAGGATTCGGCAGGAAAAGGAACAAACCTCAAGTATGGGCTTTCTCTGAAAGATATGTGGCCCGACTTCAAACGGTGCTCGGCGGAGCTCGTTTCAGGTGCTGATAAAACAAAGATCTTTACTTTCGACAACATTTAAGGCATCAAGAGAGTACTACAAGAGAGTATCGACTTGGCAGCCTCACTTCTAGCCCTCAAAGTAAGTGAAAATAATCTCAGCTGATTACTATAACCTGTATTTCTCAAAGCGTCCAAAAGTTCTCCACAATCAGGCCAAGTGTTACAAAAACTTAAACTCAATATATTCTTTACAAGTCCAAATGAGACACCGCAGCAATCACTCACAGCACTTTTTTTTTCCTCACTGCTCTACATCGGAGCTGTACAAGCTCTTCTTGTAATGTTGCCTGCTGAACAATAGTCTCCTCTGGGTCAGTGGTAAAAATAACTGCTTGACCTCCGGCATCATGTCTCCTCAGAGCTCTTTAAGTAGCGGTCTTTCTCTCTATGTCCAAACTGCCTTCTGAATCAAAATCAGCTTTTGGATTTTAGTACATATACAGCAGGTTCAGACGCCATAGGTAAAGCATCAAGAATGTAGCAAATACCTGATCACACCTGATGTGTTTGTTATATTACGCCGTGAACTTTCTGGCCAAGGATGCTTGGTTAGGACAAAAATTCGTATTTACATTAAAGATTTAGTGCTTTTCACTTCATTGCTTTGGTTGCAGTTCAGTAATATTCCAGTAATGTCTTTAAAACATTCTCGAAACAATGTCTAAATAAACTGTAACCAAAAAATAAAAAAACATTTTTTAAATGTTGTGAGATTACATACCTGGTAGGTTTTCTTTAAGTAGACTCAAAACATCAATATACTGTAATGTGTTTTTACAACGGAAACAAAACCACAGCAAAACCAGCTATTAAATTAATGTAATCTGTACATTTGAATGAAGTGTTTCAAAGATGTAAAAGTACAACCAGTCCAAAAACTGCTTACAAACAGACTTCGCCCATTGTTGGCATGGATTTGGCATAGGGCTATTAGCCACAACTGCCAAACATTTAATGTAAGTAATGCAAATAATGCTGTAACCAGCACTGTAATCTTAACAGCTTTGTTGCTAGATTTAGTTACTTTTTTTTTAAATTGCCTACAGACATATGTAGTCGCCAGATTTGTCACTAGGCAAGTTTTATGAAAAAAGTACAGGTATATACCATTATACACCAATAATAAACAATACACCGATATACCAGCACCTACTGTCAAGATTTACTAAAGATGTGCTGTGAAAAATTAGTTGATGAAAAGGCGTGCACAGTCATTTTTGTGGCTGACCTCATTACATATGCATTTGTAGGAGTGTCTCTTTCAGACGCAAAATTTATGGGAGGAGAATATTTAAATGAATCACGCAACATAATTTACTAAGGTTTGCGGTAGACAATTTAATGGTATTTGCACCATTATGTGGGAGGCTGTGGAAGGCCTTGTTTAGTAAACCTGGCCCTAGATATGGTTTGTCCTAGTTTCCGATCGACTCGTCAGTATATCGCCATCTAGTGACATTTAGCGAGCAGACTAGCAACTGTCCATTGAAAGTAGTTGGCAACAGTGGTTGTAACAACATTTCCGCAATATTTAAAAATCCAAAATCTATAGTATTATCTATTATGTTATCAACTTTCAAATAACGTTTAAGCATCTACAGAACAGTTGTGCTTGTTGTGATGATAGCTAATTTTTGGTTCTTGAGGTGTGTGAGGTTGTTGTATGAGTCCGACAAAACAACATTGGCTCAATCAATGGCATGATTTCGGGAAACCTGTCTGAAAACAGGTATTATTTTTGCAATGCCATTTGGTGACATTAGTAGCAAAGATATCACACAATTAACTTTTAAATCTTGTAATTTTTAATATATTTTTTTGAAATGATGACATAAAAATGCCAAAAATTCTTGGTGTCTGAGCCAACAAATGTCACTATGTGAGACTGACATTCCCAGAGCATGATAGTGTGTTGCAGCCTTCTTACCCCATATTTGCACTGACGGGAGGAGGCGCCGTACTGGAAACGACACTGCTCATCTGCATCGTACACCTGCCCTGGAGCCACAGTGGGGTACAGGAAGTTTCGTTTCAGAGGCTCATTGTCCAGACACGTTCCCCGACCTGAGCTGTCAAAAAAACAAACCTTCAATGGGATTGGCTCTTCTTCAGAGGTTTCATTTGTGTCCAACAATAGAAAAAAAGTCTTGTGACAAAATCTCACATGAAAGGAAAAGAGAAGGTGTATTGTTAATGGAAATTAGCAAGCAAGAAATCTGCAAAATACAGAATGCAAAATGAGGGAAGCGTGACTGACAAACAGTGGCCATAAAACGCTGAGATTTGGACTTATATGGTACTGCGGTGCTCCTATGGAATCCTTTGAAGAGCCAATAAAATGACGAAAGAGGCTGAACGAGCAAAAAAAATAAATCAGAAGGTACCGGAGGTCACGCGTCCAGTCAAACTTGTGTTTAGTCGGTTTAGTCAGCTAGAAATATGAATGTTCCCCAGAAACCTTCAAAAAAAGGGCCACTGCTCTGTCTGCAGCGAACAACGTGAAAAAATAGAGCCAAAGCAGAGGCCAGGCAGTGCATGTTTTGTTGGACTGTGTTTATTCTGGGTTCAGAAGTGGATCTTTGTTTTATTCTCGGCGTCCCCATTACGGATGCTTTCCCCCTCCTCCCTGGCGTGCGCAAGCAGCTGAGAGATGTGTCCGCCCCACGCAGCTGCTGTCCGCTGGAATACAACAGCCAATTATTATCCCGCTGGCTTTTCCAGCAGCATGCCGCGGAATACGTTCTCCTTCTCTCTGAGGGAATAGTGGGCTCGCTAACAACATAAACGTTAACATTTCATACTGCTGGAGAGCAGGCGACTCTATTCTAGGTTCTGTTCTGGCATTCGCATGATTGCTGCAACTGAACTAATCATGTTAACCAACCACCCCACCGTGTGCTGCTAAAAGCAACATTGCCTCTAAAGAGAGAGAGTTTATATTGCATCAGCCAAGACACACTAACCCTCTGATTGTATGCCATTACCAGCGGTGTAATGTAACGAAGTAATAATACTTTGTTACAATACTTAAGTATTTTTTATGAGAATCTGTACTTTGAGTTTTAATATTTCTGTCAACTTGCACTTTTACTCCACTATTTTTCCTAATTAAAATGTATACTTTTACTCCGATACATTTCTATTAAATTGCCCCTATTATGCCATTTTTAATGTTCCTAATATAGTTTGATTCGTAATATAATGATTCGTAAATGATTAAATCGAAGCAGTTCTGAGATTGAGTCTCTCTAAACCCCTCCTTTCCGTGAGCCTACTCTGCTCTGATTGGTCAGATGATCTAGTCCTTTGTGATTGGTCTACCGCGTACAGCACATGCTACAGTGTTTGAGGGCGGGGTCAAGTTGTTTGCGCCGTCCCAAATCGCACCCTAAACCCTTGCGGTCTTCCTCTGAGTCCACACTTTCGTGACGTAATGCCGCTTTGACTGTTGGGTAGAAGTCTGCTGCGGAGCGAAATGCCTCTGTATGTCTTTTATATTTATATTAGGGATGCACCGATACCGATACTGGTATCGGTATCATTATCTAACATCATCAAGATGAATTTGTTCTGACACAGTGTAACTCTGAGTTCTTGTCATATTTTATTACTATTTTCTAAACTATAGCGAATATAATGTGAGAAATGTTGAAGGTGTCTGAATAAATTTTGGTTTGACTGTATCTATTTGATAAATGAAGTCAACCAACTAACATTATACATACTCTTTTGGTTTCTGTACCCAATATTTAAACAATTTACAAATGCAATAAAATATTGGTATCAGTACTCGGTATCGGCAAGTACCAAAAATAAAAGTATCGGTATCGGGCGAGTACTGGAAAAAATGGTATCGGTGCATCCCTAATTTATATCATTTAATATAGTTAATCTATATCACACTAAGTGTGCCATTTTTTTCTCCAGATATCAGCATGATAACAAACGTAATATTGATTTTATGCAAGTTTAATAAAGTTAGTATTAATTTACATTTTAGATGCCCGTTTTTGCTGTATTTCGCTAATGAAAATAGTTACAAAACTGCACTTTTTTGCATCTGGAACAGAAGATGTTTGTGCATTATTTACCGTATATACAGCTGTACAAATAATCAAATCAAAAATGCAGATTCCATATTTGCAAAAACTGTTTTCTTATGTTGGAATGAGTCTTTGTACCAGATGAAGTAACCCAAAGATACAAAATGAAAGAAAGAGTTAAAACTGAACACAATCTTGCTGCTCAAACTGTGTATAGCACAATTTTTAATATGTATTTGCTCCTTTTCTATTTTGAATTTACTTGTATGTTTACTTTCAATACTTAAGTAAGTTTAATATAAAAAAAATACTTCTCATACATAAGTACAATAAATATCACATTCTTTAAAACTTTTACTCAAGTAATATTCTAAACGGTGACTTTTACTTAAGTGTGGCTTTCAAGTGCTTTATCCACCACTGGCCATTACATTTTCAGACACTTTCTACAAGGAATACGTCTCTAACTCGCACATTTATTGGTCTGAAGATGGAAAATAGGAAGGTGTGACTTTAAATCTTAAATTACATCTATTTGTTTTCACATGTTGGAGGCCAGAGCTAGTTGTCACTGGAGCTTTAACTCATTCAAATCATATAGTTCTTAATTTAGAATAATTTGTATGAATTTTAGCCTCCAAACTAAAATTCCAACATTATAATTTGCATCATAAATATAAATAAACATAAATTAAATATATTTTGTATACTATATATATCATTGTAAAGTATTTACCACGTATATATAAAACACTGTCCTGAGGAGAGAAAAAAAAATCTACGTTGAATAACAGTCACTAGAGTAAACAATTTGACAATCAGCCCAGGTTTCCCCTATAATATAATAAATTAGCTAAATGTGGTTGATAAAATCTTACATTAAATTGACAAAAAGGTATTCAAAAATATATTTAGATGTCAAAAAAAAAAAAAACATCCTTTGGATCTGGTTTCTGTAATGCATTCAAGAGGAAGCATTAGGTGAAACAGGGATCTCTGGCTTCCCACCACAACACTGGAATTCTAATCTAATTAAAAACTAAACCAAATACATTGGAAAGGAAAGAAACACATAAGCTAGCCTGGGGGGTAACCAATGTTGCATTTGGTTTCATCCATTTAGTTTTCTATTTTTTCCCATGTATTTTGGTAGAATAATCCCCTCGCCAGGGAGAAAGATGAGTCTGAATATGTGCCCTTGTATTGGAATACACAAACAAAGACTGTTTATTTCTTTAGGGAAAGACAAAAATGGTCACTTTAAAAATGGACATGTTTATTTGACACGTCAACAAAACTTCCTTGGGTAAACTCATTACAGCGAGCAGATATGCCAGCAATGAGAGGAAACTTAGTGAGTAACTATTTACAATATTTCAGCACAAAAACAAATAGCTGAATAGGAAATTACAAAAAGATCACAGTTTGTCCAAGGTCTAACCTAGTGTCCGATCGATAGCTATTTTTATAGAACAGATTTTCAAATCTAATTAGACAAGCAATGTTCCAAGAGTGCTGGTATTTAGTATAAAACACAGAGGTTTCACAGTTTGTATCGCTCAGTTTGACTGTGTTTGTGTCGGTCTTTCTGGTGCAATGACACTCAACAGTTGATGCTGCTTTTGCTTCATTTGGAATTTGTCTATTTGTAAAAATAGACAAAATAACCATCCATATTGTGTCTAAAATTGAAGTTAAACAATATTAACTTGTCCGAAAACAAGGTGGCCGATCGTTGACATAATAACGAAACAATGTTGTTTTGGAATACATAACCGCTGGGTCAAAACAACCCAATAGCTGGGTTTGTCCCTTTTTAACCCAGCGCTGGGTTATATTTAACCCAGCATTTTTTAGAGTGTACACAAAAATGCAGAAATCTAATTAAACGCTTATTTGTCACTATTTTTACTCAATATTTTTCACTAATGTTTGAGAAATGTTTATCACCCACTATGTTTGTGGTTATTATAGATTTTGAAACTGACACAATTAATTGTAAATTGACCAATGTTGATCTCAAAATTAGCATATACTGTATATCTGCCAATTAATTATCCTGTCCGATATATGAGTTTCACAGAAATAAAGACTGCAGTAAACAGCAGGCTAAATTGTTTTTAGCCATTTTTCCAAAAGCCGCTTTCTTTGCTGAAAGTTCCTACTGTGTGTACAAATAAGCACACTAAAATAAGTCAAAATCTACTGTAAACAGCAGTTTCTGGCGAGGAAATATCCGACATCCACACATCCAGAATCTGCTAGATGGGGATGTTGCGGTAATAGACTAGCATTATCATAGCAGAGCTGTTTCACTGCCAAAGATTACATCAACCTGAGATTTCAGAGAAGGTCCATTATTGAAGAATTGCTCGGCACTAAGCAAATCCAAAAAAGGAAGGTTAGTATTCAAGCTCAATCCGAAATCACAGATGACACGGTGTGATTATACAACAGGGAGTTCATCCCAAACCAACAGAGCAGTGTTTCTTTGTGTTTGTGTGGGAAGTTGGCACACGATGATAAAGCTTCTGATGCCAGCGATGGCTGTGATGTTAATCTTCTTCCATGAGGTCATTCACCAGGAAAACTTTTTGACAGCCATGGCAACCGCTATTATTTTCTTTCGTCTTACGTTAGGCTAACAATTCACAGACTAGCCCATGACTGCCTACTACAGATCAACTTCCACACTCTCATCTAGCCATGCATCGACTCTTTTTCAATTCCAGCACATATGTGTGGTCATAAAAAATTAAGTCAACTGTTAAGTGGCATTATGCATAGGTAGTAAAATAAAGAGTAAACCCATTAAAGTAATCCACTAACTGCACACTTTTAAATGTAATCAAGTTAGCTAAAATGTTCCATTTGGCAATTTAGATTTCAGAAGGGTGCTCACAGATGCCCCTTTATCAAAGTGCTAAGGGCCTCATCTGGGACAAGGCCAGTCTGCCTGGACTGCTGCTACACAACATTTTTGAGTCATGGTGTATAGATTTTTATCAATCCATTCGGAAGAAAAGTCATATTTACAATGTACCTGGATGCTACAATGAGCACTTTTGAGGAAAAATTAGTCACTATATCTGCCATTGTTGCGATAATTTTGGGATCTTTGAAAGATATTCAGAGTTTTATTGGCGATACTAATGCACAGTTATAATACATTTGCAGCAAGTTTTTGTGTAGTCGAGTTGCAGTCTTCATCTGTCTGTCTAAAGGTGGGGTCAGATTAGTGAAATTTCAGAGAAATTTTGCGGGCAAAAAGGTCCATTGTCTATTATCAATAGTGTAGCAATTTATGAAGCAATGCTCTCACATAAGTCACTTTCACACCAAGCGGTTTTCTGTTCATCAACACAGTGAATCCACATGACCAGTTTGAACCTGCTGCAAAGTCTGCGCTAACAAATCTTTTGCCATGCTGCAAAATTCCCAATCGCATGGATTCCTACAATTTCAAAGGAACTGTGACCGCATCTTGTCACATGACACAACTGTGATCAAATAATTTTCATACATCACCTCTACTAGTTGTAGTTCGATTGATCTAGATGAAGCCGAGATACAATGCATATCTAGGGCTTTTAGTGCAACTTCGCAAAAAATCAAACTGCTATGATTTCAGACAGAAAAACTGTTCACAAAGCAAATCAAACGTTTAAAGTGCCTGTAAACTTGCTAACTTAAATAGTAAAAGAATGTCAGATTTTAGAATTACCCGACCCTAGATGTTGTATAAATAAAGTTTATTTATTTTACAGTGCGTTGTTACACTTTATTTCGATAGTCCACTTTAGACATTCTACTAAGTAACTTTGCAACTACATGTCAAAGAGAGGAATGTCAAAATATACTTTGCTTTTTATGTGAGGGTCCATGTACACACTGCGTGACGCAAATTTAGGGTTAGGTTTAGCAGAATAAGTTGACATGTACTTCACATGTACTTGACATGTACTTGCAAACTTACTTACTTAGTAGAAAAAGTAGGTTACACTTTATTTGGTCCCACTTTATATTAAGTGGCCTTAAAGGGGTCCTATTATGCTCTTTTACAAAGTCTTGATTTTGTTTTGGGGGTGTACTAGAACAGGCTCTTATACTAGGTTGTTCGAAAAACACATTATTTTTCACATATTTTACATTATTACAACACCTCTCTCCCCAGTCTGGCATGAACAGCTCGAATAGTTCCTGTATCAAATGAAGGCCCGCCTTCTGAAATACGAAATGTGCTATGATTGGTTAGCTGGGCCAGTGTGTGCTGTGATTGGCTCCACTCGGCGGCTGGTCGGGAAATGTCACGCCCTTTACCATAGCCTCCTGCGAGCTTCAGTGTAAATATTGCGTCAAAATCAAATCAATTTGAGCACGATTTAAACCCGGATGATTGTAACCACTCTAAGTTCGTCTGCCTTGGGAAAGCTAGCGTGTCTCCGACATAGTGATAACACTCGTTGCCTTCTCTAGTGCAGCTCAAACCAGGTCTCATCCCATTCGTCGATATTTGTGATATCACAAATCC